CGAGCAGAGGTGGCCGCTCACCTCCGAGAATCTGTATTGGGAAAGAAGTCTCGCAAGGAGACTTTGACTGTGTATTGGGAAAGAAGTCTCGCAAGGAGACTTCGACTGTGTATTGGGAAAGAAGTCTCGCAAGGAGACTTCGACTGTGTATTGGGAAAGAAGTCTCGCAAGGAGACTTCGACTGTGTATTGGGAAAGAAGTCTCGCAAGGAGACTTCGACTGTGTATTGGGAAAGAAGTCTCGCAAGGAGACTTCGACTGTGTATTGGGAAAGAAGTCTCGCAAGGAGACTTCGACTGTATTAGGAGAAAGAAGTCTCGCAAGGAGACTTCGACTGTATTAGGAGAAAGAAGTCTCGCAAGGAGACTTCGACTGTTAGTGCCCTTTAACATTGAAAGGAAAACCCCGTTATAAAAGAATGGGGAGTTCCAATTCAAGGGCTGAAGTGGGTTTAAAACCCCGTTATAAAAGGTTGGGGAGTTCCAATTCAAGGGCCGAAGTGGGTTTCCCAGTTGAGAGCTTGCTTGAAGCCTGGGACAGGAATCAGCTTCCTGTCTAGGCTGGAATGAAGAAGAAGCGATTAGGGGAATTATGTAGGAAATGGGCTTTGCTTAAAGATGACTGCGGGAGACAAATTTGGCCTGAAGGTGACACCCTAGAAATCAGAATACTAAAAGAACTTAGGTCAAGGATAGAGCCAACCCAACTACCGTACTGGTATTGCTGGGTCGAACTCTCCAGACAGAGGAACCCGACCCAAGTCAACTTGGACCCCCAGCCTCCCTTAGATAACCCTGAACCGACCTTCATGGCCCCCTTGTTGAACAGGCCCATACCTGGGCGACCGAGGGGCCAGACAGGACACATTTTAACCCACACCCCTTTCTCCCCGTCCGATTTGGTTGTTTGGAAAAAGGATACTGCCACCTTTCGTGCGGATCCTCAAACCGTTATAGAGACCATAAAGTCTATTGTAGACACTCACAATTGGATTTTGCTGCTTCTGGTCTTTCCTAGCCGCAGAAAGGATCTGTTTGATTGGCAGAACCTGGACAGCATGGGGGTTGGCTAGAGCACAGAACCTTTTGTTAGGGAAAAGGGAGAGACTGTGTGAAAATGAAATGGAATGAGTGAATTAAAGAATTGGATTTGGGCAACTAGCTGGTAAGGCCCTGTAAGCAATGCAAAGTTAGGAAAGAAGTCTCACAAGGAGACTTCGACTGTGTAGTGTATGAAAGAAAGATAGACTTTGCTTAGGGCCTTGCTGGGAAACCAATTTGGCTAAATAAAGGTACTTAAAAGGGAAAATAAAAAATAGTGATTCTCTCTCTCTCTCTTCTCTATGCAACCACATGGTATGTTTAAAATGTGTGCCTTCCCTAACTTGAGTTATCTGAAATTTATGGTGGGAATGACTAGGATGTGTAAAACTAAGTCTTCTGTTCTCTTGTCTTTGTGTATATATGTTTGTCAAAGTCTGCGTGAGAGGTAAATGTGACTGTTAACTGTTTCAAATCCAAAGAAAAAAGAATTTTAAATTCTGCTAGAAATTATGCTTAAAAATAAGCCACAAAAAGGAAATACCTCACTCTGTTTGTCTGGCCAACAAACAGAGTGAAGAAAAAGAATTGTGTTTGTTTGTTTGTTTGTTTTCCTTTTTCTCTCTGTGTACGCTCAAGAACAGCCTTAAGTTACCAGGAGGGATTGTTTTAAGTTTATCTGTTGGAAAAGTTTCACTTGCATTTACTGTATGTGTTTTATCTATCCTTTTCCTGAAAAATGTGTGTCTATCTACAAGAGCCTTTTGAAGCTCAAGTCTGCTTGTGTGGGGAAATAATTTTCCTAAGTTACTTTTCATATCCTAAAACTTACTGGTGAAACTACTATGAAACTTTTCTGAAACAAATAAGCATTTTCTAATCTCTAAAATAATGTGGTCTATTTTAGAATAAATGTTCTCCTACCCTTGGCAAGTTGCACATCTTAAAATATTAGGCTTTTAAAATTATTTGGAGTTTTCAGCATTTTCAAACTGTCTGCAAGCTACCCCCCTTCCAATTCTTTTCCTGCCCTTTGTTCTCCATATCTTTTGTCTTCCTCTCCTGGGAGAGTCCATCCAGAAAGGGGGGAGACCTTGTTCTTGTATCTTTCAGCCCTGAAACCCTCTCCCAAGCCTTTGGAAGCAGAACACACAGACCCAGATGCTGCCTCCGTCCATTTGAGCCATGGAATTGAGTTTTGAATCCAGCCATCCACTAAAAAGCCACCATGCAATCTGAGTGGGGAACATCTTCCCCAAGTCCTACCATTTACCCAGATGCCTGTGAGAGCTGCAGAAGGAAGGTGGTGCCATGTGAAGCCTCAGAAGAGAAAATTAAGACTGTGGGGGGAGGGCGGAAACTCATTGTAAACTTTTCTTTCTTGCCCCATTTGTATTGTAACAAGCCAGTTGAATGTATTAGTGGAGAGATGGCATTTAGGAATAGGTGGCAGAACAAGTATTGAACACCTTGGACTTCTATGGTGGGAGGGAAAATTTATCCAGAATGTTTGTATTGACTATTTTGTAAAAGTAGCTGCATATACATGCACACACAGAGAGACACCATTCAGAATCACACTTGAGTCTATCCCCTCCACCTACCTTTAGTGAAGTTCCCCAGGCTGATTTTTGCTCTATTGCACCAAAGCTTTGTGGGGCCAACTTCCAACAGATTCCAGGGGGGAGGGAACTAGGCCCCCTCAGGTGATTTGCAATTCATATGCCATGACTAAGGAAGCAATAGGAAAAATCCCAAACTTATGCCCTGAATATTTTGCACTGTTGAGCTCAGATTGGGATTCCTAGAACTCATTATGTGCAATTTAAAGAAAATTTAATAGCCTGGCAGTTGGGCATTACAAACCTGGATGCACTGAATTAAGAGCTAAGGCAGGAAACAACCCTTGAAACTGGGCAGCCAGTGGTCATGTACTAAGGAGAACCATGGCTGTGAAGAATTTTGGGGGGTATGCAAACCTGACTGGAAGCTAAAGGTGACATCCAACATTTAAGAGAACTAGCACAAAACATTGGGCACAACCAGTCATCCTGGAACCTTTCCTGGCTCTTTTCATGGTTACCAGACTTCCATTGGTTGAAAATTCTCATTGTTAGTATAATCACAGTCGCAATAGGTGGAGCCCTCCTTTGTTGCCTATGCCAATTAGCACCTTTAGGGTTAAAATGCCTAAAGGTCTGCACAACTCCCATCAGAAGCAAGGGACAGAGCAAGAAAACATCTCTCATGATGTGCCAAATTGATCACCACTACCGTATATATGAACCAGTTGGGCTAATTACTGATACATCAGTAATAGCCCAAAATGGGGGAATTGATGAGAGTTGGACACCCCCTCCCCAGCCCAACTAAGAAATAATCTAGGAACACCCCAACTAAACTGGGTCAACAGCAGCCTGAGGCTAAAACAGCAAACACTTGACACACACAATGAGGAACCAGCTAGCAGCAATCAGGACACAACAATAAAAGTAATTAACACCTTTTAGGCAAGAAAAAGGAACTAATAATAGTCACAAACCAGCAAATCAAGAAAGACAAATTTTAACTCACCAATTAGAAATGGTAAGTTTGTTACCAATCAGAAATGACAAGTTTGGAAACCACAAAAGGGTATAAAAACCCCTGTTTAAAGATCACTCTGTCTAGCTAGCCGGGGACGCAAGCTGAATTGTCACTCAACGCTGATCCTCGAAATAAAACCTCTTTCTGGTAGCTGGCTTCACAATCTATTTCTTCTGCACTGCGCTGTCAAGGAGAATCCCGGCTGGAAGAACCGAACGGGGGAGTTCCTCCCAACACATGTAAAAAAGGAGGCTTAGATCATCAGGTTGTGGCCAGTATTTTGACTTCTTTATTGATATTCTTTAAAACGTGTGAAAAATAATAAATAAATAACTACCCAAGAAGAAAGAAGAAAACAATGAAAGGCATAATGGCTGTATAACAAAATATCAATAAATAACAAGGAATTTACAAGTGTCATAACATGTAGAATTCACTACTTCATTATTCCATTGATCAAATAATCAATTGAATATATACTACAAAACCCTAGACTGTCATTTTACTGTATATTGAAATCACCACAATTTATTGTTATCTAAAATAAATACACATGATCTTATGAAAAGAAAAAAGAAAGGCTTTTTATCATACACTTCTCCAAGAATGTTCTGGGAGACCAATTATTTAAAAAACTGGGAGGTTTTTTGGGGGGGAGGGGATGTTTTTCCAGAATCTTAAGAGCTGCAAAGTACCACTGAATGTCAAATATGTTTCTTCCTTGTTCATTAGTTCATAAAGTCCTTCATTAAAAAAAACCCTTCCTGTCTTCTTATGTTTTATTTGTATAAATCTATAAATATTTGTACTGCTCACCCTGAATGTAGTCTGGAGAAGAAACAGGAATAAACAAGATTTCACTTCCTCTTCATGCCAGCCATCACCATTAAGAAAAGATCTTCCAGAAAATTAATAGATAATATAGAAATGAGTGATACTTGACCAAAAGTGTCACACTTGATGTTTGCATAACAATCTTTGCAAGCTGAGAAGTGCCAATAAGACATTTTTCTCTTTCTTGTTTGGCACACTTTTTTCATAATTTTAGGAAACAGTGGGATTTGCTGAGAGACAGGTATCCACATACCATAATCTCCATTGTTATGGTTTTAAGATGGATAAGTCTTTCTTCTTTTTTGGTTTGGAAGCTGAAAAGTCTTTCAGAGTCTGGGAATCTACAGGACATCCTACTCAAAAATGCTGAAATAATATTGGGGAGGTCAGAAGGATCTATGGGGAAACCTACCTCTGCATGTGTTTTGGACTTATATGGGAGGGAGGGAGGGAGGGAGGGAGGGAGGGAGGGAGGGAAGGAAGGAAGGAAGGAAGGAAGGAAGGAAGGAAGGAAGGAAGGAAGGAAGGAAGGAAGGAAGGAAGGAAGGAAGGAGAACCAATGGTCTGACATAAACCAGCCTTCTATATTTCTATATTAGTTGAAATAAAACTGCATGCAGATAAAGCCTGCAAAAATGTGGGACATATGAATTTGGTAGCACAAGCAATGCTGGTGCTGTGACATGTCTCCTTCTTGCAAAATCAAGGCATCATACGACTGATCCTGTCACCTCTGCTGCCTCCCCGAGCAGCTTCCCAGTTCAGATGTTCAGCCATGACCTCTCCCAGAGGCATCACCTCATAGGGTTTGAGTTCAGCCACACCTTGAGCTGCTCGGCCAGCAAACCAAAGACAGAGGGCTCTTCCAAACACCCGGCATGCAAAGGGCATTTCAAGACACCCGACTTCCTGCAGCTTATGCATGAGCATCGATGGAACGCTGCCTGTTAACCAGGAAACTGTTCCCATGGCAACCCATCTCTTGCATTTGAAGAAAACAGGGATGAGAAGGCAAAGAGACAATGGTGACAAAAGAAGATGCAGTTTCAATACGAAATGGGCACCAGGAACAAAAGCCTGAAGGGTGAGAAGCTGTGATGTTCTATTGGAGCTTAAAGCAACACTTTAAGGCAGGGAGAGTCAACCTTTTTGTAACCCATAGTCCTATTTTGCTCTTCTTCTTTTGGCCAATTTTTTTTGGCTACCAAAGGGCACAGGGGTGTGGCAGCAACATGACAACATCTCCAGGAGACGCAGGGTTAAATGGTTGTATTGATTTTTATTATTTATAGTATGGTTCTTTGGACTTAATCCTTCTCCGCTGCCTTGGGTTACCTTGGTGAGATAATCTACATATATATATTGTTTGAGTAACCAAATAAATACAAAAAAGGCTGCCATTTATTTATGTGGGTATTTGGACAATTTATATGGATTATCTCACCAAAGTGACTTCAGGCTTAGGAGAAAGACTTTGGGAAGGGTGGAAATTCTGGCGTACCGATTTCTCTTTTTATCTTAAAAATAGAGAAGGGGACCTTAAAAAGATAACATCTCCCTCAAGTGCAGTTCACAGATACCTCATTTGTTTGCCTGCCTGCCTGCCTGCCTGCCTGCCTGCCTATTTTATATGGCCACCCATCCTAACAGAATAACAGAGCTAGAAGGGACCTTGGAAGTTTTCTAGAACCGCTTTCAGAACTGTTAAATTTTTTAAAAAAACATTAAAAGTACAAACATTAATATTAACATGAAAAGAGAGAGCATCAGATTATCAACAGTGGAACCATCTCATCAGATCACTGTTCCCTTGCAAACCCCAGATCTGTTGACACAACCAGATCTGGGTTGAGGGACTTCCAGAAGGTCAGCAAAAATGGGCCCCAAATGGGGCCAACCTTACTTTGATGATTTCACAGGGTGGAGGCCACTGCAGAAAAGGCTTGTATACCAAACTGATATAACTCAGTTCTGGGAGCTGAAGTTCACACAACTTCAGTGTTTCTCAAGTTTCTCACAACTTGAGAAACACTGGTCTACAGGAATGAGCTGCCAAGCTCACTTTAAGGGCTTCAACTATTACAGACCTAAGTTCACTTTTTCCTCTTTCCCAAGTTGTCTTCATGCTCTTTTGACCTATAATATAAACTGTCAATCATGTTAATGTGTGATAAAAACAATCACTAGAATAATGATGTGCCTGCATAATTACTGGAATAATGCTGTGTTAGTAGTATGTGACTAACCTAATGTGCATTACACTTGGATACAATGTATGTAGCAAACTATCTCCATTGTATACCCGTGAGAAACGAACCTAATGTATGTATATTACAATGTGTATTCCTTTGTTCCTGAGAAAGGGAAAGTATAAAACTGAAGTCTGAACCCACCCTCGGGGTTCAGAATTGCTTGTCGCTATAGCTTCTGAACCTGCGCAATAAATCTCTCTGCTAAAACCCTCTGGAATTCGTAAGAGTCCTTCCGTTTTCCACAAGAATTCTGGCAACTCCGCTGGGACTCTTAGGAAGAGGCCGTTGACCTTCCAGATGGACTGCCCTGGTGGGTAGCCTCTCTCCTAACAACGACTCCTCCAAGCTGGCTCCGTGGCCTTTGTCTAAGGGGAGACCTCGACGGGACGGGAGGGGAACTCACCCGCCAGCGAAGCACTCCAGTCAAGGATCCAACGAGGGTAGCAGATGGATCTTTAATCCGCGGAAGGGTCTGGAATGCCTGCAGGCAAGTAATATAAAAGGGGATACCTGATCCCGTTTGGATCGGAAGAGGGGATTGATCACCCCCTAGAAGACAAGGCGGCGTCCTTAAGTCTTCAATAGGAAGGATTGTGTGGAAGGTTAAACCATTGCATTTCCTGAAGAGTGACCATTGGAACATCCGGCACTCCAGGTCGGTGGTAGTGTGTTAGGGAGAAATGGGAGGAAACCAGACTAAGAAGGGCATTGGTCAGACGCTGCTTCAGTGTATGTTAGGAAATTTCAAAAAGGGGTTTTCTAGGGATTATGGGGATCCATGACCAAATCCAGCCATGTTAAAAAGATTCTGTGAATCTGAATGGACCACCTTTGGCATAGGGTGGTCCAAAGAGGGATTGGAGAATCCCGAACTCGTGGCATGGGTTCATCAAATTGTGACTGGAAGTAGTCATTGGGACCAATATCCCTATATAGACCAATGGCAGATCAATATTGAAGAAAAGCCTCGATGGTTAGCAAAGTGTCAGATAGAATGTGCTAAAATATATTTGGCAAACCAAAAAGCCAAAAGCTAAGATTTTGAGCCAGGAAGAAAGGGAGGAAGTTGTCAGGCCCCCGCCCTATGTTTCTAGAAAAGAAGGGGGGAATATCAGCAAATTCCACCCCCTCTAGTTGAAAGAAATGAAGTCCACCTTCAACCAGAAGCCGGTGTGAAAAGAAAGATAAAAAAAGATAAAACCATTCAGAAGAAAGATCAGGACTTAGATAGCAATGACAGCAAAACATTAGTTTCTAGTCTATAAGTAAAACGAGGGTAAAAACAGAAGAAATGATAGCCCCTCTAAGAGAAGTTTTGGTCCCTGGACCAAACAACACCAATATTCCGATGCTCCAGTATGTTCCCTTTACAACCACTGATCTACTCAATTGGCGTCGGCAATATGGACCATTTTGAGAAAAACCTCAAGAAGTAATAGACCTATTCTCCACCATTATTCAGACGCATAACCCCATGTGGGATGATATGCAACAACTTATTTCTACTTTACTGGATATGGAGGGGAGAGAGAAATATAGGTTAGGAGAATTAAAAGTACTTGCCCGCCGACACCCTGATGGGGGAGTGAATTATCAGGCAAGCAGAGATACCGAAGCAGTATGCTAACGATGGACAACACCAAACTTTGTTGCAGAATTATCGGCTTTTGTGTTTAGAAGCCCTGAGAGAAGCCGCAATTCGTCCAGTTAATTATGCTGCAATAACTAGTATTTGGCAAGATGAAAATGAGTCACCAACCGCTTTTCTCAGCCAACTGATAGAAGCTTATAGAGTAAACACAGGTCTTGATATGGAGGTGGCACAAAATCACCCACTCCTAATTGAAAGATTTATCACCCAAAATGCCCCAGACATAAAGAAAGAGTTACAACACAAAGAAGGGGCATTAGGGAAGAATATAGCAGAGATCATGGAAATAGCTCAGAAAGTGTTCCGTAACCGTGAAAAGGAAGAAGAACGTAAGTCAGATCAGAAAGAAAAAAAGAAGGTTGAAATGTTAGCAGTGGCCTTGGGGGGGATGCGTATTGGACCCAACCAATGTGCCATCTGTAAACAGGAAGGACACTGACAAAGGGAGTGCCCCCAGAGGAATGGCCAACCTAAGGGACAATCTTGCCAGTATGGAAGAGGACGAGGATTTAGAGGGACTTTCCAAAGAAGTTGTAAGGGAAGCTTCAGGGGAAAAGGGAGTCCACCCTATCCCAGTCAGACGGAAGAAAGAGAAGAAAACATGATCAGCTTAGCCAACATGGAATGGGGAGACTGAAGAGGACAGGGTTCTATGGTCCCACCCCCGGAGCCCATTGTTAAAATACAGGTGGGAGGACAGATTGTCCCAATGTTAGTTGACACGGGAGCCACCAGATCGGTCCTAAATAAATCTATTGGCAAGCCATCAAACCAGACCATCCAAATTCAGGGAATATCCAGAGAAACTCAATTTCGACCACTCCTGGAACCCCTAACATGCCAAGTGGGACAAGGAATAGTAAACATCAATTTTTATATGTCCCAGACTGTCCTATTATTTGGAAGAGACTTGCTAAATAAGTTAAAAGCAACCATTTCCTTTGACAATGGGAAGCAATTAATTCAAGTGCGCCACCCAGTGGAAGAAATATGGCGCTTGATGATAGTGACAGAAGAAGTAGGAGGTACTAAGTGGCAACAATTTAATGTCCCACTACTGTGGGCAGAGGATAACCCCCTAGGATTTGCGAAATACGCCACGCCCGTTATGATGGAACTAAAACCACAAGCATATTCTGTTAGAGTGCCTCAATGATACTGTACTTCAGAGGCTGCTATTGCCATTCAAGAATTAATCCAAAAATACTTGATAGCAAAAATCATTAGAAAAATTCAGTCACCCTAGAATACTGCAATTCTACCTGTTCGTAAGCCCGACAGACAGTGGAGACCGGCACAAGATCTCCGCCCTGTTAATAAATTGACCTTAACCCTACACGTGACTGTTCCTAATCCATATATTCTTTTAAGTACAATACCTGCATCCGCTAAATGGTTTTCAGTTGTGGACTTAAAGGATGCATTTTTCACCATACCTTTAGCTGAGAATTGTCAGCCAATCTTTGCATTTGAATGGGCTAATCCAAAGACACAAGTTAAGACTCAATATACCTGGACTAGACTACCACAAGGCTTTAAGAATTCACCTACGTGTTTTGGTCAAGCTTTAGGCCAAGATCTTGCATATTTGAAGTTAGTCAGACAAGAAGACTGTTGCCTTCAATATGTGGATGATGTTCTGATAACTGGACAAAACAGGGAGGATTGCTTTGAAAACACATCCATACTGCTCCGAATGTTACAAGACTGTGGCTACAGAGTGTCCAAAACGAAAGCACAATTATGTCAAATGACTGTAATGTATTTAGGCTATGAGCTATCACAAGGACAAAGAACTCTGGGCCCCCAGAGAAAGCAAGCTGTGTTACAGATTCCCATCCCCCAAACAAAATAGGAAGTTAGAGCCTTTTTGGGAATTACAGGTTTCTGTAGAATTTGGATTCCTAACTTCGTTCTCACAGCTGAACCATTGTACCAAGTTTTAAGAGGACCAGAAAAGGAACCCCTTTTGTGGCAACAAGAGCAGACCCAAGCAATGAAACACCTTCAACAAGCCCTTACTACAGCACCAGCTCTAGGGCTACCTGATATATCTAGGTCGTTTTCATTTTATGTTGATGTGAGACAGAATGTGGCTTTAGGAGTCCTTACCCAAAAGCAGGGAAATTGGAATCGCCCAGTCGCTTATCTGTCAAAACAATTGGATATGGTGGCACAAGG